TTTTTTTTTTTTTTTTTTTTTACTTCCCTTCAGTTATTACATGGCTGGGTACTCCTCTTATCATGATCCCTGTGTCAAGTTGTTTCTCCCCTATCTTGAAGAAAATATCTTTATATGTCACAGCACTTCTTTCATAGATAAATAATGAGAATCAGAGAAAATGTCAGAATATAAAAATTCTCTTCAAGTCTTTCATTTTTGCTAGATACATTTCTAAAGTTACTACTCATCATAACATTCTTTAAGAGGTGGTAGAATCTTTCTTCATTTATCTCACAAATCATGGAGATTGTCAATTAATTTCTTTAAATATATGTTTACTACTTACTGTTTAAACAGTTCAGTTTTACTAACAGTTTTGCAATACAAGCAACCTCATCAAAACTGTATACAAGACAATACTCCGTAAACCTGTATTTGGATTAATATTTTCTTCAAAAATTTCTGGTCAGGTAGACTCTAAAATCTCCTTTTTCCCAAATACATATTTAATATACCTACAATGAGGACACAGCCATAGTTTTAAACTAACCTAGCGCTAATAACAGTCCTACTAAAGGTCATGAGAGCAAGGGCTCCTAAATAAGCCAGAAACCTGAGTACACCTCCATGGCTCCTGGCAGGCTTGCAAGCTGCAATGAAAGCTATGTTTCTTCACTGTTATTCCCCCATGTTACCACATCAAACTGTATTTAGCATATTATAGAGTGCTGCAGTCTTACCTACATTTGGCTTCATAAACATGAAAAAAAAATACTAGGCTGATATTTTTTTTTTTTTTTTTTTTTTTTTTTTGGATGATAAAGTTTATCTACACTTTTGTTACATCAACAGAGCAATATAGGCACTTTCTGAAAACAATTTATCTCAGAAGGCACTGGACAAATGGCCCCCTGAAAATGGCAATAAAAAGGGATTCAGTTGGGATTTAGCTTTTACATGGCTGAAGTTGCATATAACAATTCACACCTTGAATAAGAATAATGAGCCTGCCAAAGCTCAATCATTTTGCCTCCAAATTTAAATTTCATTTTCATGGTTTCAGGCAATAGTTTTCTTCATTAACAAGAATCTGGGAAAAAAAAAAAAAAAAACAAAAACAAACAAACAAACAAAAAACTGGATGAAAAGTACAAGGTAGATTGCAATATTTGGTAGTGAATTTGCTCTGATAATGCAAGCTTGACAGAAAAAGAAAAACCATGTTTTATGCCAATATTACAAAACTGATACTGCATCTAAGACTATTTTACTCCAACCTGGATTCAAGCATCTGAACAAAGGTGTATTCTTCATGTTAACAATAATATTTCAATGTTGCAGTGTTTTGAAAATAAAATTGGAATAAATTTGAATTTGATCAAATAAAACTTTGTAGATGGGTAAAGGTTTCTTCAGATGTTATAAACCAAGTCTATTCTTGTTTTTACTTATATATTTGGCATTGGAATTGTATACACCTTTCTTTTTTCTTTGATTCTATTTTCTGACAGGAATCAAACCCTACCAAAAAATTCATTTATGCTTTTAGATAAATGAGCAAACAAGTTGTCTAGAATAATTCATTAGTTATTTTATAGCAGTTAATATTTTGCAGATATTTACACTATATTCAGACACAATAACAACCAAATATAGAGAATAGTTTGGGGAATCAGGCAGTAAAAGAGGATGTCCAGCACAAACCTGGACTCCCTTTGTTTTCTTTCCTACATGTAAGAAAATAAGCACTATCATAGTAATCAGAAACATTACTATTCCACACTCAGATAATCTGCACAACAGAGTACAGGCTACAGAAGAACGCCACCTATTATTATTGAAAAGAAAGATATAAGAAGTCAACAAAGGAAAATTTATGCCTATTTGACCTTAAGCAAGAAAAAAATCTTTTAGCAGTCTGCCTTGTAAGAAGACTAGTTTATGGTAAAGAAACTAAGACAAGTATTTCCCAGATGAACCTAAGCAAGGACTTCACAGATGAGCCTGTAGCCTCAGGAATTCAAACCTGATTTGTACAGTCCACTACATATTCATAGTTTGGTAAAAAAATGAGAACCATTATAAAATTTAAAGTGTGCACTGGTTGCACATCATAGGATGTCCTGTTCTCCAAATCCAAGCTAACAGTATGCAGTGTTCCTCGTTTAGGTGCATATGGTGTGACTTTTCTGTGCAGGTTTGCACAATAACTTTCACATTTTCTCAAGTTATGTAACCTCTTGTATTGGGTTTCCATGGCAAGGTTTTTGTAGCAGGGGGGCTACAGGGGTGGCTTCTGTGAGAAGCTGCTAGAAGCTTCCCCTGTGTTCAACAGAGCCAATGTCAGCCAGCTCCAAGATAGACTTATCACTGGCCAAGGCCAAGCCCATCAGCAACAGTGGTAGTACCTATGTGATAATTTAATTTTTTATTTAAGAAGGGGAAAAAAAATGCCCTGTGAAACTGCAGACAGAAGAGAGGCATGAGAATATGTGAGAGAAGTAACTCTGCAGACACCAAGGTCAGTGGAGAAGGAGGGTGAGGAGTTGCTCCAGGCACCAGAGCAGAGACCCCCCTGCAGCCCCCGGTGCAGCCCCCGGTGGGGCAGGCTGTGCCCCTGCAGCCCGTGGAGGGCCACGGTGGAGCAGATCTCCACCTGCAGCCCCTGGGGACCCCACTCAGAGCAGGTGGATGCCTGGAGGAGGCTGTGACCCTGCGGGAAGCCCACACTGGAGCAGGCTCCTGGCAGGACCTGTGGCCCCGTGGAGAGAGGAGCCCACGCTGGAGCAAGTTTGCTGACAAGACTTGTGACCCCACGGGGGACCCAGGCTGGAGCAGCCTGTTCCTGAAGGACTGCACCCCGTGGGAGGGATCCACGCTGGAACAGCTCATGAAAAACTGCAGCCTGTGGGAAGGACTCACACTGAAGAAGTTCATGGAGGACTGTCTGCCATGGGAGGGACCCCACACTGGAGCAAGGGCAGAGTGTGAGTCCTCCTCCCCCTGAGGAGGAAGGAGCAGCAGAGACAAAGGGTGATGAACTGACCACAACCCCCATCCCCTGCCCTCTGCAACAATTGTAAGGAGGAGGTAGAGAATTTGGGAGTAAAGTTAAACCCAGGAAGAAGGGAGGGGTGGGGGAAGGCGTTTCAGATTTCCTTTATTTTTCTCATGACCCTACACTGATCTGATTGGTGATAAATTAATTTCTCTAAGTTGAGTCTGTTTTGCCCATGATGGTAATTGGTGAGTGATCTCTCCGTCCTTATCTCAACCCATGAACCTTCCATTGTATTTTCTCTCCTCTGTCCAGCTAAGGGAGGTGATAGACCAGCCTTGGTGGGCAGCTGGCATCCAGCCAGGGTCAACCCACCACACCTTGCCTCACCCCAAACTGGGAAAAAAGTAGTTTTTACCAGAATTTGTTGTTTTCTTATAGCTATATTGTTTATCTGTCCCATAATCTACCATGTTCATTTTGAAATGACAGAAATAGGCTGATGTTGTTTCTATTTCATCTACATGTGCAGAAATTCAGGAGTAACACATGTTGGGTAAAAGCATTTAGATCTTTTGAAGGCTTAGGACAAGGTTTGTAGACAGCATCCCAGAAGAACCGAGGCAGTGCTGAGTATTTCCATTCACCTGAATTACTTGTTTGAGGTAAGTATGTGGATGAGGTGAGTTACACACCCTTTATGGATGCAGATGTCTAAACTTTGAAGAGGTTATACTGAGGCTTACATACCCAATGTGACACCTTAAGAAGCTGACTTCTTTATAAAAAACAGAACAGGCATTTATGCACTGTGTTCTCAAAAGAAAGTGTGGTGGGGAGCACAGTGCAAACATCCCAGTGATTTTTCTGCTTAGATAGTCTAAGTTCAGTTGGGTTTATTAGTTCCAGTACACCTGGACCCAAGCCGATTCTATTCAGAGCCTATGCCTCTGCACCTACTTTTGTTTCTCTTTGTTAAAGGACAGCTTATGAAATTGAAGATTTGCTCACAAATCTGAGGATTCTATATAACAACTGAAGTGCTGGGCAAAAGCCATTATACTAAAGACAAAACACGCTTTTGAATAAAAGATTTTCAAGAGAGCAGAGTCAAGTACTCAAGATCTAGAAAATACCATAAAGTGATAGTTACTCATGCAACATTCATTCACAATATATTTTCTTTTGCATAGCTATTAGGTTAGGGCCTAATTACATAAGCACATACTATTAAGGCCACAGGATGCCCAAAGCATTCAACACTGTTTTCATTTCAGTGGAGTGAGTGGACAGGAACAACGTACACTATTGTTAATTAGCATTAAATAGGGTTCTCTGTCTTAATACCTCGTCCTAAACTCCAGCCAATAATAAACATTTAGTGTCCTTAATAACATATTCAAAAAGAACGTGTTACAGTATTGTGGTCACAGCACAGTAATAAAAGCTTCCATCTCAGGGAAAGCTT